CCAAGTGCAGACGAGAATGTGGCACCTCTGGAAGTCCACCACACACATGGGGTAGAAGGCAGAACTGGTACAGCCACTCTGAAAATTAGGTTGCGGGGTTTTATAGATAGCTGTTGAGATATAAGTGACATATGATAAAACCCACCCATTTAAAGTACATAATTCAACAGCTTTTAGGAAGTTCAGTGTTGCACAACCACCACAATAAAATTTCAGAACATTTTTATCACCCCAGAAAGTCATGCTGAAATAATGGGAACCCATCGACAATCACCCTTTTACTTTCTGCCTCTGTGGATTTGCCTCTTTGGGACATCTTATACTGCTCTGGAGGCCTGTCTCGACCAGCTTCTCTTAGTGTCATCCCGTCTGCCCCAGCCTCCGGGCTGCTGGTGGACAGCGCTCTCCAAGGTGAGATGCCACGGAGGGCAGGACCCACTCCGGTCAGGTTCCCAAGTCTTCCAGAACCTGCTCCTACTCAATGGCTCGTAGCCACTGAAGACAGTGCATTTCATTATGAGTATTTCACCAGAACTTTAAAAACAAAACAAAGAAATGCTCAACTGTCCAAAGGTTTGCTGAGCCCTAACCGCGGACCGGTCCTGGGCGGGCTACGGCGGACCCTGGAAGCCAGCGGCTCCCACGGTGTCCCTCAGACCTGCAGGAGCAGGAGCCAGGAGTGAAGCCCCCTCTTGGCCAGGTGAGCTTGGGCCGCCTCCTCCCCTCTCCCCTCGAGCTCTGGGGTTTATTTTGTTAAACTCAAGAAAATTCTGCCTTCGGCTCTGTTAACAAATATTTAAAATATATATTTTTTAAAAAGCTCCCAACGATCTGCCAATCCTACTGTCGCCTGCATCCTCCCTCCCTCAACTGGGTGGGTGGGCTCTGGGGCGGGCGCCCTCTGCTCGCTCCTGTGGCTACGTGTCCTCCCAGCCTCCAAGGGGTGTGTGCTCCAGGTGGGGTCTCCTGGCACCTCAGAGGCAAGGCCACCTCCATGTGGGCGCACGGACAGGACCTCAGGACCCAGGACAGCAGGCTGCTGCCTCCCCACTCAAGCTTCCAAATCCTCTGAGAACCCTGAGCAGCATTTGGGGAAAACAGGCCGTGAACCCATTTTGAAGGACGTCTGAGCTTGGGAGAGACGGTGCCTGTTCATCCACCACCTCCCTCAGCCCAGAGGCCTCAGTGAGAGGAGCTGCGGCCATTTCTCCAAGCACTGCCTCGTTGCTGATCCTCAGAAGCTCAGAGACTTTAAGGAATTGGCCCCACGTCCCCAGCTAGTGAGTGGGGGAACTGGCACCCAAGCCAAGTCTATCCCCGTCTTACCTGGGCCACCGACACGCCACCCAGGCTGCCCACCCCAACTCCAGCACGTCCCCCCAACGTGACCTCGCCTCCATTCCCACTCCCGCCCCATCGGGACCAGGAAGAAAGGTAGCACTGCCACTGCCTGATGTCTTCTTCCAGCCCAGGGGGCCATGGCAGAGCAAAAGTCTCCCCGTCCACAGACGGCAGCCCAGCTCCAGAATGTTCTTTGGCCTGATTTCCTCAAATTCTGGTGGTGATGAGCTGCCTAATAAAATTATGCTAAGTGATGTGCATAAAGAGCAGCATCCTAAACCCTCATTACTGGCCCCGTCTTTGAAGAATGCCTGGGCAATTTCCAGGCTGATCAACTCACCTCTCGTTGGGCCTGATTAGCTGTTGGGGCCTCGTTCAGCCGCCGCCCCCCGCCCCCCGCATCAGCAGGGCTCTGGTTGTCATTAGCTACTCAGATTGCCTTTTTAAAAATCTGTTTCGCATAAAAGGACAAATGGGAATGAATACTTGCCCATCTTTAAGACACTAACTGCATTCTTCTCCACAGCCTGTTCTTGTTACCCTCTTTCTTCGGGAGGGATCTGAACGCAGCCCGGGCTCCAGAGTTTCCGACTGCAAAACGCATCAGCCTCGAAACTTGACCCGGGTGGGCATCTTTGGGAGGCACCACAGATCCGGCCACCAGGATCCTTTTTCCTTGACCTATTCTTCCTCCAGACCTACCTGCCAATCCTAGGGGGCTGCTCCCTGTGGCTTCTTTTCCAGGACTCTAGACTGCTCTCTGCCCGTGGCACGCCAGGCTACAGGCTGGTATTATTTGCTGGTAAAGCAAGAAGCAATTTCATCCAAAGATTGGCTTCTTCTCCTTTAACAGTCAACGTGGTCCATGCCAATAAAATCATGCTGAAATACTGGGCATGGGCGCAGGCAGGCTCCAGTGGAGGGGATTTCACTGGAGTCTGTGTGACACTGATGTGATATGAGACCGTCAGGATGGGTCCCTGATCAACAGAACTCCTTAACCCAGTGCCAAAGTCTGCAGGCCCTACCTGTCCCTACCTCACCTCCTCGACTCCCTCTTGGTCTCAAAGCTCCAGCCCTGTGCCCAGCCCTCCTGCCCCAGGGCTTTTACACACACCACTGCCTGAATGCCCGTTCATGGTGTCCCATGGGTCAGTGCTCCTCATCCTGCAGGCCTCGGCTGCTCTGGCCCTTGCAGAGGGCCCTTCTCTGACTCCCCTCACTTTCTCCACCCTGATTCTTACCCGGTTCTCACCCTCAAGGGCTCATGTCCTGATGCTGCGTCTGTCTGTTTGCTTGCTGTCCCCTGTCACATGTAGACAGATACAATCACCGTGAGGGCAGGTTTTGTGTCTTGTCCTCTGCCAGGCCCCCAGCCCACACATCAGTGCCCAACTTCAAGCAGGCTCTCAGTAAATATTTTGTGAACAGATGGATAAAAACGTCAGTACATCCCATGTGTCCCTGGTCTCTGCAATCTTTCTCAAAGGAAAAATATTCATGGGTTTATCTGTCCTAATAAAAGAAAACGTTTATTTCTCCTAAATCTCTTGAAAATGGACGACAGAGGCTGAGAACAGCGAGTTCCTAGGATAAGCAAACAGAATCTGCAGAGTGAATTCTAAGAAGGGAGACCTGGCTTGTCACCAAGCGTGGGTCATGGGGCCAGTGACTTCATGCCGTGACTCAGTTACCCCAAAATGTAGGGGGAACAGTCTCCCAGTCAAAGCCTCAACAGGAAAGCGGAGGGTGGCTTCGCCCTGGCGCTCCCCCCAATCCCCGACCTTTGGGGAGACGCTGTGGTGCAGAGGTCTCACCCACAGAAGCGGGCGGGGAGGCAGAGAACCCCGGGATCAGATGCGATTTCCCTGCTCAGGCTCTGGGTGAAAACTGATCTGGGAATGCGTGATGCTCCAAAAATCCGCCAGCCCCCGAGCGCTTGAGTTACCCCTCCGACCACAGCCACATGGAGAATGAAATCAACGCCCCACGGAAAGAGCTTTTTTTTTTTTTTAACATTATGCAATGTTTGGGTGAAAAAATAAAAAGGAGGAGGTATCAGAAAAAAAAAAAAAAAAGAACTCATCGTTTTCCCAGTGTGTGGCGGAGCTATTTCTAGCTTTTTATGATCGATTTCACCATCCATCACTGGCCGGGCGTCCTGAGAGGCGCGAAGGCGGCCTCGCGGTTATGTAACCCATTTCAAGTAGGAAATTAGCGAGTCCTGGATGAATTCTGTTACTGTATTCCGACTTCTGGAAAGTCTGCCCCGGCTGCAGTTCTATTTTGAGGTGAGCAAATCCATCATGCACCAGCCTCCTTGCAAATACCGCAGGGCTTCGTGTCACCCTGAGAAGTTTCATAACAAAAACAGCCCCAGTGCGCGGGGCGTCGGAACATTTCGTCTCTAAACCTCGTTACAGGGAGTCCAGTTGCCAATTATTCAAAAATGCAAATATCCAAGATCCAATAAATATTCATCTCTCACTCTCCCAACACTTTTTTTTTTAACCAAGCCCAGCAAAATATTCTGGTCAACAACATGAAAAGAGATGTCTGTTTCTAACGGGGCCGCTGGCCATGAAATCAATTCCAAAGCCACCAAAGCTTCAGTGGAAACCCAGGGCGCAGGCAGCAGAAGGGACCGCGGCTCTCCCTAGCCTCGGGCGCCCCCTGGCGGCAGGGACGCGCAGCGCCGGCCGGGGAATGGAATTTCACTGAGGGCCAATGCGCAGTCCCTGGAGCACGCTGACAGCGCACGTGTCAGGAAAAGTACTGGGGGTCTCCATCTTGAGAGCGCGCGAGGTCCCCTCTGTCCAGGGAAGCCAATGTGAATAGAAATGGGCAAAATTATGATTCTTTTTCTAATCAATTAACGCAGAATGGTCCTTTCCAATGAACCTATGAGAAGTGAGCAGCCTTACCCTAATGGCAGCCCTTGGCCAGCCTAATGCGGAATTTGCTTCCAGAGAGATGCACTGACACCATGGGGCCCCTTTACAAATTAAGGGACCAACGGCGAAATTGATGCATGCCCAGGAAATGAGGGTCCTCAATCTTGGCACCATGGACACTTTGGGTGGGGTAAGTCTGACAGGAGAGATGCCCTGGGCTCTGCAGGGTGTCCAGTGGCACCATGGACCTCCACCCACCAGTGGCTAGTGGCACCCTTCCTCACCTCCCAACAAACTCAGGTGTCTATGGATTTCACATGAGCGACAAAATCACCCCTGGCTGAGGTCACTGGGTTAGGTTAACAAAGCACGGTCCTCCTTGCTTCTTATGCACCAGCCTCCAAACCTCCTTTGCCCAAAAAGAAAGTGACCACATTGTTAAACCTTCCATCCCTTGATTTAAAAATAAAGACTTCATCGTCATCAAGCACTGTGTGGGTAAATACTATCTGATCTCTGTTTTTCTCTTTTCCCATTTTACACGAACTACTCTGAATTTCTGACACATCTGGGAAGGATCAGGGTATCACCATGCATTGATTTGGGTTCCTTTCCCCCCCCCCCCCCCGAATTTGAAATGTAACTGGGAAAAAGTTCTGGACCTGTTAATGCACCACAAGATAAACACACAGTGGGAGCTTTATAGAAAGTTCTTGTTCCATCACCAGAATTCATGATTCCATACAAATTAAAACGATCCCCAAAGGCAGGAAGTACACAAGCTTTATTGGGCAACAGCAACAGGCCACGCTGGCACTCAATGAGTGGATCCGCTTGGAAACACATGTGTCCTCACCGAGCCGAGAATCCGAATCAACTGGATGGACCCTCCGGCTCAATTAAAGCATCTGCGCAGGGCTGGTCCTCCATCATGACGCTGTCCTGTCCTGGTGAGCACGGCAACGAGGGTGACACAGAGAGATCTAGGGAGGGACCCGTGACCCGGACACGGCTGTGTTCACCCGGGATAACAAAGGGATCCATTGGCCATGATTTCATTTGCGAACACCCCCCACCCCACCTTAACCACAAACACCACCTTCCCCACCCAGGCCAGCTCTGTCTACCGCGGCGCTCCGACCCCGCGGGAGGAGCTGCTGTAGTCGAGAGGCTCTGGGCTCCATGTTGAGGAGCGACCTCGGGTCCATTCCAATACACAGTCCATTGTTTCCCCAGGGGAAATGAACAGAATTAATGAAGATATTTTCAGGTACACATAAACAACAAAAAGCTTTACATTAAAAGGAAGGAGAAATAAAACGAGTTGTATTTACAAAGCTCCCGGTCTATTTTAAAAACAGGAACAGAGCTGGGAGCGATGGAGTTTTAACGCCATAAAAACCATACAGTCTTCAAAAAGCTTGAGATGACACCACAGACACACACACAATCGCAAACACACACAAGATTAAAGATAATAACGGCCGACGGGTGTTTGCTTTCAACAGAAGGGAGCAGGAGAATGTGCAAAAGTTTAAAATGCTGCCCTGAAGGCATGTGGGCATGCCCCTCCCCCAGGCAAAAATAAGACCAAGTAGAAAAACAAAAGTCTGGAGGGGAAAAGGCATTAACACGTCAATTTCCAGTGAGCACAAAATTCAAATTACATCAGAAAGTACTGTCAGTACGACCTATAATTTCATCAGAGAATAAACTGAGGAAATCTTGGTAGATTTGGTAGATTAAATACGATGGTATTTAAGATGCGTGCCACACAGATTTCACTCAATGGGGAGCTCGCCTGGGGCTGGGTAGCATCCTGCCAGGGGTGGGAGCAACCAGCTCGGGAGGCTGGAGGCAGGCATTGGTCTCAATTTCAAGATGCTCCCTGGGACTTTCTCCAAGCAGCTCAAGTTAGCATCCCCGACTCTCCTAGCACCTTAGCCACACACGTGCAGAATTAATGACCAAATCAGGATCAAAACTGTCAGACTGGGTGTGGTGGCGCCTGCCTGTAATCCCAGCAGCTGGGGAGGCCGAGACAGGAGGATCATGAGTTCAAAGCCAGCCTCAGCAAAGGGAGGCGCTAAGCAACTCAGTGAGACCCTGTCTCTAAATAAAATATAAAATAGGGCTGGGGAGGTGGCTCAGCAGCCGAGTGCCCCTGAGTTCAATCTCTAGTACTGCCCCCCCCCCAAAAAAAAAAAAACTGTCAGATGCAGAGGAACCAAACCATCCTGCTCACTCTACCCTCCACCCTCATCAGGAGATACGCTCATAACAAAATCACAGTAGAAGCTCTCACAGGGGCAGAACCTGCTAGTGCTGTCCGTGGGCACAGGGAGCTGTGACTTCTACTTTAAGGAGGTGTTCAAGGGGTGGAGACTGTGCCCTAAGGCCTTCAGACCTCAAGTGTCCGATAAAGGTTCAATGGTGCTCTACAGAAATTCCTTCCAGGCCAATGAACCAAGAGAAAGGCCAACGGCATCCTGTGTTCAAGGCTGACAAACTTGGGAGACACTAACAAAACAGTTAAGTTCCTGGCTTCTGGTTTCCTTCGCTTCCTCCACCGCTGAGAACCCGGGCTCTGCTGGGGTTCTGTGTGATTCCTGGGGTCACGGCTGTGCCATGCCTGCCCTTGGGTCTCCTGGGCTGCCAGCGGTGCACATCCTTAGGTGCTCAGGGACCCCTGGTGGGTGACACCAGCAGGCTGCCTTCTTGAGGGATGGTCCCATAGCATGGCAGCTTCCCTGGGGGGTTGAGTCCTTCTTGCCCACAGCTGCCCACATCCAAGTGCACGGAGAGACAGCAGAACAAGGGGCTCGCGGAGGAGCCGCCCAGCATCTTCAGCTTCCAGGCGTGGCCTCTGGCCTCCCGGGAGCCCCCTTCCTCCCGGGGGTCAGATGTTCGCTCATTAGAAATTGGGAATTAAGAAAAAAAAAAATCAGAGGGACCAGCTTTATTCCCTGTGTGCTGGAAACACCTAGTTCTCCAGCGGGGTGCCGATGAGCTACCTGCAGGAGCCGTCGCCTGCCTCTGGGAGTTACGCTGGTTCAGGCCTCAAACCTGCCATGGAGTTAAGATTCCGGGTTCATAGGATCAAAAACACTGAACGACACTTCCTCCTCCTCCACAGATGGAACCAGGGCCTTGCACCCGCTAGGCAAGCACTCCACCAGGGAGCGACACCCCCAGCCCTATTTACTTTTTTGAGACAGGGTCTAAGGCTGACCTCAAACTTTCGATCTTTCTGCCTCAGCCTCCAGAGTCACTGGGATTACAGGTGCATGACCCCACGTGGGCCCCGCTCCTCCTCCACCTTTGACACCACACAAAATCACTCAGTGAACACGCTGGACCTGCTCAAGCTTGCTGGGGCTTCTGGACAAAGACCCCTTCCCTAAGCAACCACTCGTGCAAGGCGAGACATCTTTTCTGAAGGACTTTCCCTGGCAGAAATGGCCGGCGAAGAGGGGAAATATTGCAAAATTACAGAATCTCAAAAACAAACAGAAATGACATCAATAATCTGCAACTCACTGCCACCCTAGGAAGTTTTAAAGGGGCATCACAAAATACAAGGGCTTGTCAAGAGCACTCCAAAGCTCAGATCCTCGTGTCCCCAACTCTCGGAGGCAGGTTCCCTCAGGTAGGTGGCAGGCGTCAGCAAGCAGGCTGTGACTTCCATCCCCGAAGCACACACAGTTTAGTGTCGCACTGAAGCTCTGCAGGGTTTGTACACATAGAGAATTTGTCACAAATCCGAGACGACAACCACACTCAGCTCTTGCTGACCCACTGACTTAACCGTCCTGTAGTCAGAGACTCGAGAGCCCAAGGCCTTGCTCTCCCCGCCACGTGGGACACTTGCCAACTACAGCTCCTCACAGGCAGCAGCCGCTGCTTTATAAGAAACACACGGCATGCGGCCAGCCAGGTGGGGGAAGTCTTGCCTACCGGTGGCCTTTCAGCGAGTTCCCTTGGAAATCTGCAGGCAGGGGAACTGATTCCAGATCCCAAGCCCCGGCCTCCTCCCACGGGGCTCCTGGCTTTGAAGGCTGCCACCGGGAATGGCGACACGGCAAGATGCCTCGCTTGCTCAGTCCGCCCACAATAATTCCTCCTAACAGGAAACAGGTTGCTGCAAAGAGCCCCGGGCCCTGACCTTTCCGCTCAGGGCCCAGAGGGTCTGAGTCACATCTGCCACGCTGTCTGAAGAATTAGCCGAGTCTTATCACACTGTCGACACATTTAGGGGCTGTTCAGTGGCACGTTTCCTGCTAAAACAACTCTGCTGAAAACGTCAGGGGGTGTCCTCAGATGGCCACTGGCTTGGTAACTGTCACCAGCTCCTAACAAAGCAGGATCACACCTCTGGGATTCTTTTACGAGGTGGCAGGTGAAGTTAACTGGAGGCCGGGACCGCTGAGTTGGATCCAGGGTGATGGCTGGATTTAGGGCCCCCTCCCCTCCTCTCGGGTACCTTTCCTGATGCTCTGAGGCGGGGCCGCCTTAGGATGGGGAGGATTTCCAAATGCAATCCGGGTTCGGATAACTTTCACCAAACATCACTGTCTTTTTCTTCCAGACTCTCACTAAGAGCTTCATGTTTTCCTGAAACTGCTTTGTAAGATGAGAAAGACTTAAGAGTGCACATGATAGGACTGTTTTAAAAAAAAAAAAAAAAAAAGCCTTCTACCACCTTCAACTAGACAGAAGCTTTATCACATGACAACAAAATTCAAGTCATAAGGAGCTTGCCCGGGGCCTGCAGAAGCCTCTCTGCGGAGCCACCCGGCTGCTATGTGTTCACGCTCACTCCCACAGGGCTACAGGGCCACAGGGCTCCCACAGGCACACTGGGGACCTCAGGACCCTCCCTCCTGATTCTTCAGCGTTGGGACTGGGTCCCGACACACAGCACAGAGCCTGGCCACACTGAAACTGCACATGTTAGCGATGACTGCAAAATCCACAGGTGGCGGTGACACAAATGGAACTTGAACTCTGTCCACCAGGAAAGCCCAGAGGCCAGGTCCCCTCCACCGAGTGCCGAGCCTACGACGTGAGCTTCGAGTAGCTGGGAGGAGAGAACCGTCTTCGCAGGTACTTGAGGACATAGAGGGGGAGACAGCTGACCAGGGTGATGACAGACACCTTCCAGAGGAAGGACAAGGTGGCGATGAAGTACACATCTGCAAGCAACGGAAGGACAGCAGTGAGCATGTGGGAATGTTCCAGAAGGCCCATGCAGTTCAGAAACAGCCACACCGCTGTCACAGGGAAGCAGTCTCCCATCACCAAGCCCCGTCCTCCACTGGCCCCTGAGGGTGCGCCCTGGGTTGGCAGCACACCCCACCCTCCCGCACCTCTGTCTCGTCCCGCTGTCTGTCCTCCCCTGTGGCTTCCTGATACTCAGGGAGGTGCTTTTTTTTTTTTTTTTTCCAAATACTAGTAAAAGAAACTTCAGGGAAAACCATTCTTACAGTGTTATTTTGATTTGGAATCTGACAGGTGGCATCTAAACCCAGCCCCTGGGGAGCCGAGTGACACTGAGATGCAGGCTTCTGCTTCCTGCAGCTTTCTCTCAGCCCCGCGTGGTGGAGGGGAGCCACCAGGAGGACCTGTGGCACGGCGCCAGGTGGGCAGAGACGCCCCTGTCCAACCAGTCCTGTCCTCGGGCACTGACGGGGTACGTCCTCCGCTGCCGCAGGACACTAAACCCTGGATCTCAGGTTCTCTAGAGAGAAGAGGCTGCTCGGGGCCTCGTGAAGCAGCTGCCCGAGCAAACGACTTCCCCTCAGTGGGATCGGACGGACGCTGGGTCCAGGACCTAGGATCCCGCGCCCTCACCCAGCCCTGGTCCAGCCAAGCCGGGCTTCCTGTTCTGCCTCAGGCCTGAGCCCTGCTCACACAGTAGGTGCTCACGCAGGCCGTCCTGAAAGACCAGGGCAGGCGGGCAGCTCCCGGTCTTCTCTCCTGTTATCTTCACTGAAACCTTCAAGAGGAGCTCGGAAGCCGGCAGAAGGGCCCTGACCGAGGATGCCTCCAGGTTCAAGGGGGTTTCTTCATCCTTTTTCTTATTATTGTCCCCTAAGGAACCTTTGCAAGCTTTGCCCCTAATCTACCTCCCCATGACATTTTACCGCCACAGGCCTGCTGTCCATCTGTTACTGGACACACCTGCCCTTACACACACAGGGAGAGCTGCTCAACCCCACACCTTGGTGGTGGGGCCACATGGCCCCATCCAGGATCTCTGGGGTTAAGGGGAGTCCAACTACCCAGCTGTGCACCCAGAATGCACAGAGGTGGCATCCTGGTGGCCCTGCAGGGGTGCCCCAGGACAGTGCTGATGGGCACCAGCTCAGCCTGGACTCTTTACTGCTGGTTGGCGGGGGGGGGAGAGGGGTGTACTTTCCCATCTGGAAGTTTCCATGACACTTTTTATTTGGGCTCAGCTTGGGAGTCTGTCCGGGCCCTGGTGTGTCTGTCTGCAGCTCACATCTGCCATCTCTGCCACCCCCGCTTACAGTCTCACCTCCCTGTTTGTCATGGGTTTTGTGATATGAAGAGCCACCCCCTGTAAGCCCGCCCATCATGTCTGCCCATCTTGCTGGCACAGGGCAGGTGCTCCTTGTGCATCTACAAAGGGGCCAGTGCCCACTACGGTGGCAGCCGTCACTCCTCGGGCTGGCTGTATAGAGCAGCAGATTTTATGCTGAGGTCCAGAGACTCCACAGAGGAGCTAGATCAGCGGAGGGGCCTCCCACCTCCAAAAATAACGTCTGGAAAGTCAGCACAGGCACGAAGGAGGAGAGGCCATCCCTACCACCATCAGGAGCCATCTCATAGCCTGCTCAAGAGTAGGACCTGGGTGCCTGACCCCCGCCCCCCCAGGGAGCTCTCAGGGCCAGCCCAGCTCACTGGGAAACCCTCGGGGGTTCACAGGGAAGGGGTTCCAACCAGGGGGGACGGGGGAGATGCTGAAATCCACAGATCCTCAGGTGCCTTGTGTGAAACGGCACAGTCTTTGCCTAGCACCCCACAAGCTCCCAGAGCCTTAAATCTTCTCTGATACCAACGCAAGGCGAACGCCGCGCAGACGGCTGTTACGCTGTATTGTTCAGGGAAGAACGGCCAGAAGAGAGGCCGGACATATTCAGTTAAGACCCAACTTTTTTTTTTTTGCTAAATGTTTGGGCTCTGAGGTTGGTTGAGTTCACGGATGTGCAACCCATGGATAAGGGGCTATTCTGCCCTTTCAGAATTAGAAGGACAAAGGATTCCTCTTCTAAGCTGGCTAGTTCTGTTTTTTCTTTTCTTTTTTGATACCAGGGACTGAACCCAGAGGCTTTGACCACTGAGTCACATGCCCACCCCTTTTTATTTTGAGACAAGTTCTCGCTAGGTTGCTTAGGGCCTTGCTAAGTTGCTGAGGCTAGCTTTACATATATTCTATGTATAAATTGTTGATGGACTTTTATTTTATTTACTTGTTTATATGCAGTGCTGAGAATCCAACCCAGTGCCTTACACATGCTACGCAAGGGCTCTACCACTGAGGTAGAGCCAGCCCCCCGAGGCTGGCTTTGAACTTGCAATCCTCCCACTTCGGCCTCCTGAGCCACTGGGATTACAGGCATGCACCAGAGTGCCCGGGTTTTTGTGGTTTTGGGAAACACACTTTTGGCTGATGAGCAACTCAGTCAAAGAGTGCTTACCCAGCGTGCACCAGACCCTGGATTGTACCCCAGCACCCTAAAAAATGAACAAAGTAAAAATACAAACGCATGCTCTACTCTGAGAACAACCCTGCACTCTCAAAGGCACCCACTGATTCACAGCCGCCACTTGGCCCAAGGCAGGCACTGGCAAGAACACGGGACAGCTAGCGAAGGGCCGCTGGACCAAGAGCCAGGAGGCAGTGCTGGGTGGTGCAGACAGACACCTGTGCACACTCGGGGGCTCACCGATGAATTCGTGTAAGAACACCAGGGAGGCGATGTAGCAGGCCAGGCTGAGCAACTCCGCCACGGTCATGAGCCAGTGCCAGGTCTGGATGGTGAGCGCCACCATGAGAAGCTCGGTGAGGATCAGCGACGTGAAGGAAATGGCCACGATGTGCACGAACTCCGACTCGAACAGCAGCAGCGCCCCGTACATGATGGTGCTCCCTGCAAACCGGAGGAATGTCCGTGCAGGTGCCCTGGGCTCCGCCCTCGCAAGCCTCACCCCTCGCACACGCCCCGCCCCTCCAGAGGCTCTGGCCCGGGACCCGGAGAACCGCTCCTTTACTCTGGGAGCAACTGCTCGCTAAACGAGGCTGCGAATGATGCTTCATGGAGGATTCAAATCTATAGTTTCCTATTTTCCTTTCTAACCTTATCAAATAGATAATCTGTAACTGTACAGGCAGAAGGAGGAAAAGAGCGACAGAATGACTAGCTGGAGTTGATGGAAAAACAGAAGTTTAAACATATTTAAAATGAGGGCTGGGATGAGGCCCGTGACAGAGCACTCGCCCAACACATGGGAGGCCCTGGGCTCTGTCCCCAGCGTCGATACATGTACGTACGTACACACACACACACACACACACGAACACACAGGTTTGTGTACACACACATGCACACTCTACAATTAATGATGGGAACAGCAGTCACAAAAGGACAGCGGCTGCATGCAGCCACTGGCTGGAGGTATCTGTAGGACGTGGGTGCCAGCCACAGGGGAGGGGACATAGGGGGCTGCTGTTCAGTGGCGAAGGAGTGTCAGATTTGTAGGATGGAAAGTTCTGGAGATGGCGCCCAGCAGGGACATGCTCACCACCGACCCAGATGGTGGTCACGGTGGTGAAGGTTAATTAAATGTTTTCACCACCTATATGAGCACCAGTGACCCAGGGCACAGGGGGGAAGTGGAGAGAACCCCACGCCCCGCCAAGGAAGGGCAGGAAGCATGGGGGTGAGCAGTGGCAGCCTCTCCAGTGCCCAAGGGGCAGGCTGATCAGGACCTAGTCCAAGACACTGAGAGCGTCACTCAGAGGAGACAGCCAGCAACTCTGACACCCCAACTCTCTAGTGACTGCCTTAATGAACAGGCCTGAGGGTGGCGAGGGCAGAACAGAGGACCGCTCATTACTGACAACTTTCACGCGCACTTTGCATTTTTTAACCCACTACAGGGACCACCCTGTGGCGCATTCTTCCTCCTTCTTCTCTTTCTGCCGTGCTGAAGACTGAACCCTGGGCCTCACACGGGCTGGGACAGTGCTCCACCACTGGGCCAAACCCCAGCCCGTTTCATAATTTTTTTTTTAAAGATAGGGTCTCACTAAAGTTGCCAAAGCTGGCCTTGAACTTGAGATCCTCCTGCCTCAGCCTCCTGAGTAGCTGGAAATGCATGCCTGCGCCTCTGTACCTGGTTTGGTAAACATCTTTAAAACATTTTTTAAACACGTCAATGACAACTGAACCCTCTGCCAACAAGCTCAGTGGCCTCTACACTTTCTGATCACGCCGCCCACAGTGAAAAATCCTTCAGAATGAAACCCTACGTACACGTGCTTATTTGTGGATTCTACGTGTCCCTGTCCAGATAGAAAGGCCAGGAGCACTGTACAAATATATCATGTGTGTCAGCAAACACACGAAAGCTGGACGTCCCAGATTTGGGAGCACTCTGTGTTTGGGACGTACAAATCGACTACACTCTGACTTCACCACCACCCTGGGTGGTCAGGGCAGGAGTCCTCCACCCACCCAGCAGGACCCCGCCTCACTGCCACCTGCCCCAGTCCACCTCAGGTCTGGCTTTTCACTCCCTGTGCCACAGGAGGGAGAAGGACCCCTGCGGTGACCTCCAGAGCCCAAGGCAGCAGCAGATCCTTACCTTGATAGATGCTAATCAGGACCCATATTAAGAAGGTCTTGTAGGACAGCGGTCGCCCCTAAATGAGAGACAGAGAGGTCAGAGCAGGCTACTGCCACCCAGGGCCCCACGGGCCTTCCGGTCACTCTTCCTCTATCCACACGAGGCCTCCTCCCTGCTTCCACCCAAGAGGCCAGTGCACAGCTGAACCCTGAGCGATGGCCTCTCTGACAAGGAACCGACCGTAGGTCTGGATAAATCTTTGAGGAAACGCCTCTGAAGGCCAGCCGAGGAGACCTCACACAGCCACACCACGGTCACTACGTGTGGCTTCTGGACGCGTGTGGAGGGCACTTCTAGGGGCAGATGCAATTTGCAGCTCAACATGGAACCCCGGGGGCCTTTTAAGTCAGCAGCTCTTTCCAGTTTGCCACCTCATACTCCTTACAGGGCACTCGTCACCGCCCTCAGAATAAGGTCCAAACTCCCGCGTCTGGTCCCCAGAGCAGGAGGGCACGGGATCAACTGTGTCCCAGCCAGACACGGGGGTCAGCGTGGAGGAGAAGCAGCAGGGAGGGAAGATGGAGAAGAGGGGGAAGGAGAGGATGGGTGACCGGGAGGACACGGGGGGGGGGGGTGACCTGTCCCACCTTGAGGAGGTCCTTGTAGAGCTCGGGGTAGAGCATGGCCACCTCTGACTTGACGTCCTTGTCCAGGACCAGAGAAAAGACGGGGAACATGGTGTAAATCGTGGAGTACCTGGGGAGCAGACGGCCACGGGTGAGACCGGCTAGCAGGACCTGCCCGGCCCAGCTGTCCCTCCGCACTTGCGCACTGGGTGCCTACCACGCGTCAGGCCCGGCTTGGAGCCCTGGAGGCTCGGGATGTAAACAGACAAGACACCTGCTCCAGGCTTTCGGGCTGGTCTCTGGGTCAGTAGCAAATAAACTAAAGTAACCAAGCCCAGAGGAGGAGACCCTAATGGGGAAGAGGGAGTGAGGCCTGCGTGTGCACATGTGTGTGGGGGGGGTGCAATCACCGAGGGCGGCTGAGGAATGGGACATCTGAGTCCACACCCACAGGAACAGCTATGCCAGCATCTGGAGGAAGAGCCTCCCTGGTACAAGGCCAGCCAGTGCAAAGGCCCTGAGGCAGGGAGGTGGCTGTCAGGAACCAGTGAGGAGAGGGCGGTGAGGGAAGCTGGGGCGGGTCACAAGCAGTCACATGGAGCACGGCTCAGAGAACCCCTGACTCCACTCTGGCTAGTTGTTCATAGTCTTTCAGGAACCAGCAAAGGACACTCTACCTTTCCAATCAGAAGCAGGTAGAATCCAGTGTCTGCTCTCAGGCTGAAGCAACCAGCAAAACCCAGTAAGTCAGCGGACTGTGCCGGACACCCCAGGGCTGCTCCCCTGCTGAGCCTGCCTTCCTAGGGCCACCAGTCCACAGTGGCCGGGGGACCAGAGGGTCTCTACACAATGCTGCTTCTCCCTCCCCCTCCGTGGCATCTTAGGGAAGTTTCATTAAAGAAAAGGAGACGTGGCATGGATCCTTACCCGATGATGAGGAATCCTTGATAGAGGGGGACGGAGGCAAAGTAGAACACAGAGGAGAAGACCGCCTGCGCCAGGGAGAAAGAGGATGTCACCAAGGGCCACAGCAAGGGTCCCCGTGTTCACCTAATAAAACACCCGCCCCTGCACAGTCACGGCACACGGAGCCGAGGTTACGCGTACTTCGTGTGTGCGAGCTCATGTGATGCTGCTAACATTATCCCCATTCTACAGGTGAGGAAGGCGAGGCCCAGAGAGGGTGAGTGGCTTGCTCAAAACCACACAGCTCCTCTATGCCAAAGCCAGGGGTCACACTGGTTCACCCAACTCCAGCATCCATGCTCAGCCCCTCTGAGACTGTGAAGCTCCAAGAGCCGGGAAGGCTTTGCACACGATCCCAGCACATCTCCAGAGCCACCCACAAGCTTGAGCCTAAAGCTGCCACAGTCCACAGAAAGGGACATGGAGGAGAAGAAGGGCCTGCAGGAAGGAGGTTGGTCCTGCCTCCAGGACCACACCCCCAACAGCTCAGAATGACCGCGCCCATCACTGGCCCGCGCTTGGGAACTGTCAGGGAAGAGCCCTGTGCGCTGCACCAGCCACCTTCAGGCTGGGTGGCGGGCCAGGCTTTGCTTCTCACGTGCCTCCTAGTGTTTGGGGAAACAGCACCTGGCAGGCGGCCTTTGCAATCAGATAAAGCCAAAAAGACACCTGTAAGCCCTGCTGAAGGCCACTTCCCGATCCAGGAGGTATTAGCTACCGTGGGAAGGAGGAGGGGACTGCATCGGGCTCACTGAGCCCCAGGGCCCCTGCACACCCACAGGGTAACTGCGGGATGGCAGAGTCCAGACTCATCTCCACTAGATAAAACCAGAGGGGGCCAGTGTCACCTAGAGGGTTCATGATAACCAAACACGGAGGGAAAGTGGACGGTCCTGGTAACCAGGCACCTCTAACCAGAGCAGCTCCCCAGCACCCGTAGCAGGCAGAGAGCCAAGGAGACCCACGCTCGCCGGCCACAGAGCTCAGGTCACAGTGCCACTGAGTGCTGTGACCATGGGACGCTGGGAGCTGCCCTCTGCCATTTTCAGTGCCTTGTCACTCAGGTGGGACTGTGACACAGGACGACTGTATGTCAAGAATCTCTGCTGACTTCACAAATCAACACGAGGCACCCCTTCCTCTAGGAGGGGTGTGTGGACCCTGGTCTTCATCTGGACAAGAAGTAAAAACGCCGCGTCCATGTCTGTCTGAGACCGTTTCCAGGGGTCACTGCAGACGGGGTTAAAGGCCATCTGCAGCACAAGGGGCAGTGCCACACCCTGGAATTGTCCTTCTGGATGATACGGCAATGCCAGGCCCTGCTGGAGTCCCCAGAACCAGCTCATCTGTCTCCCAGTGGCTGACACCAGCATTTCCCAGCTCAACGGTGAATCAGCATAAATGAACAGGACAGATGTGGTCTGAGGAGCCGCAGCTGTTTAGCGCTTAGGACATTTTGTTGGAAAGCACTTCAAGGCCTCACTCACGATGCAACAGACATTAAAAATGCAAAAGCCACCCCAACAGGCCTGGGTGAGGCCAAGGAGAGAGAGCGCCCTCCTGGGGACCGACTCACTCTGTGTGATTAGAAACCTCTCCTCCCCTGGGGAGGAGGTGGCCTCAGCTCTGGCTATAAAGTGGGTGCGGCTGTGGCAAGGATGCAGGTGACCTGCACCGCAAGCACCCAGCTGACACCCAGGTCCAGGAAGCGCTCGGGAGAACCAGGCCACTCTCTGGGGTTCCTCCCGCTGTCCCTGCCTCTGCACCCCAAAAACCAGGATGTGAGCACTCACGCTGCGGTCTCCTCTGCGCCCATCACTGGGGCACACCAGGGAGAACTCACTCCTGTTGCCATACTGCCACCATGGTCACCTACCTGCTCCATGCCAAGCACCCATGGGCTCCACCGCTCATGCTCATGTCCAGGCTACACAGCAAGCAGGGCCATCGCCTCTCAAGAGAGGAGCAATGTGGAGTGACTTGCCCAAGAGCCACCAGCTAACACGCCACGTGGGGGATTCAAACTGGCCCAGGAACAGCACCAGGCCTACTCTGAGGCCCAGGCTTTCTCCGTCATCAGCACACCTTCACCTGCACCTGGGCACCAGGACCAGCTGCCCACCCACTGCACGCTGTGGCCACGGGCACCTGCACAGAGGCGCCAGCTGCCCACCCACCTGCATGGTACTGATGCAGAGGCTCCTGTGGATGACGAACTGGCTGAGGGCGGCCGACCGTTTGTAGCTGTTGCGGCCGTGCACCATGAGCAGTCGGCCCAGGTGCTTGAACTGCGTGATGGAGAAGTCGGCCGCCAGCGAAGCCTGTTTTCCTTCCTGGAATCCAAGGAAATTGGGCACCGTCAGCAGCACAAGAGGTCAAGGCGGACACGTTTTTTTAATTGAAAAAATAAGACACGGTAAGGAGATCTTTGAAGAGATTCAATAAGGAGGTTCTTTGGTTTCGAGTTATATGCAGTTGGTGGCCCAAGTCTAAATCTGATTTAAAAGAGGAATTTCTTTAAATAAAGAACATACTCCATCACGGAGAGTTGTAACATGGGGGTCAACTGAGCGTGCTCGGGAGCCCCGAGAGCTCCGTGCCCGAGATGCGCACAGAAGCAAAGAACCACTCGGGGCTCTGTGCTGTCCACCGGCTCCCTTCAGAGGCCAGCACGAGGGGGACACCTGTGCTGTCGACACTGAGGTGCAGCGGCCTGAACACAGCTCTCTGCAGGCAGACGTGGAAACAACACATGGTGCAACACCTCGTGGAATCCCCTTATTTTGAAATGTCCCTGTTGGGCACCAGAACGGGGCCGCCGGACACCCAGGCCCCGACAAACAGGGGACCAGCAATTTCTCTTCTGTGGTGCCCAGGGACGGAAACAGATCAACCCGACCCACAGACACTGTGGCCCATTCTGCCACCGTCCCAAATGCTTCAGAAACAATGTCACAAAAATACCCTCCTCCAAAAGAGAGAGAGAGAGAGAGGGAAGTGTTTTACATTAGAGAAGATTAAAGAGACATGAAAACATGCTAATGAATGAAATTTGTGATCCCTGATTGGTTCCTGGATCTTTTTTTTTTTTTAAGCTAGATGACATTTCAAGGACAACTGGGGAAATGCCACCGTGACTCTCCTACACTACGGTCACACTGGTCTTACATCTGGGGTGATAAGCTTCTCCTGCAGGCACAGGAGAACACCCTTGTTCTGGGAGCCATGCTGAAGCACTTAGGGGTGACACGTGATTACGTGTGCAATTTACTTTCAACTGATTCAGAGAGAAAGCGAGAACGTGGCAAGTGTTAACAATTGGTAAATCAAAGAGGAGGGCAGATGGGTGTTCATTGTTCTATTTCAAATTTTCGGAACGGATGACATTTTTCAAAATAAAAAAGAGGGTAAGACACGATGTCTGTACATACTCTTGATGTAGAAAGAAATCCAAGATGGAATGGATTTAAGCAAGATGCATAACAAAGTGCATGGTGTGTTTTTAATTTAAGATTATACACAAAAATAATATGTCTATACATACATGTGTAAAATATGTTTACAGTATATGCAACAGACATGTATGCACCCAACTGTACACCCATAGTAAAATGTTGGATGAAGACCCCATGTTGGTAGTTTGATGCAGTTTAAAAGATGCACTTTATTTTAAAATTATTTTAATTTTTCATCATAAGAACTTACTACTTTGATGCTCTTTAAAAAAAAAGGAGGATTCAGAATATAATTTTTAACAGAAGGGAAAATGGTTTTTTGTGTTTATATAGGAACTTATAATTTTATTAAATTCAAAATGCTTCTTCAAACCTACATTCCAAGAAATTCACCAAGATTTCAAATTCAATATCTCACTCCAGAATCATCTGCCTTTCTAACTCAAATGATCAACCTCTGGCTGGGAACCGAAGAAACTGTGGGAAGGGAAAAATTCAGCCAGACCTTGAGGATGTGCAACAGGGCCCAGGGGAGCCGCCGGGCCCTGCTCGGGCCTCTGCACTTACTCAGACGGGGTTCCAACAAACCTGGAGACCAGTCTTCCCCTGGCCGTCTCAACGGATCACAGATGAGAGGGCAGGCATAAGAGGCAGGCAGGAAGGGAAAAGCAAAAATTGCTGTACAACAAACTAAAACTCACTGCCAAGGACTTTTAGTGAGGGTGGACGGCCACCACACTCCCTACGGCCCAGGAGACCGGCACAGGGCCTGAGGACCCTTGGATACTAGGAATGTGGAAAAACCACATCGTTTTTTGTTGCTGCTGTTGTCGATTTAGGTCTTGGCAAGCAAAAGGCCAACATCGTCTGTCCGTACATGTGCTACCGTGCTGAGGATGCCGGCTTCCAGGTGCTCCGAGGTGCCTTGGGCCCTGTGCTCCTTACCTAGACTCTCCACGGGACCAGGGCTGTGTCTCTGAGGGAAGGAAGAGGACGAGAAGACCCCAGAGAGGAGCGGGGCGGGGGCGTCTCACCTTCCCCTCCACCCCCACGCCGCAGTCGGACTCCTGAATCATGCTGACGTCATTGCCACCGTCCCCTGCAGGACACACAGAGCAGAGGGGAGGAGGAGAGGTGAAGAAGGGCAGGAGAGACCCCCTGGCAGGGCCACAGTACCAACGGCAGCACCTACGGGTGGTGGCCAGCACGGTGGCCCCACTTCCAAAAGGGACCTCTTCCCCTTTGGGCCCTCGTAAGCATTATTTGGGAGCCACTGCCACTGTTCCTGCTCTGCTGATGGACAGACCCAGGCGGGAGGGTGAAGGAAGCCACCTGCGGCACCTCTCAGTGATGACCAGCAGGGAGCGGAGCCAGACGGGCTCTGCAGAGTGGGGCCCTCCCTGCCCTGGAACGCAGGGACCCTGGGCCAGGGCAGAGGAGAGGCGACTCCTGGGCTCGCCTACGTGCCCTCTCCAAAGGGAAACACCAAACACGACAAGGGCAAGCCAAAGCCCCTGGTGGGAACAATCATGCCCTGAGCAAAGTGGCCCAGGGAGCGCAGAAAAACCGGCTCTGTGTCCTGTTAGCCTCACGGAAAAGAAATCCAATACAGAGCGGGACAGGGCCAACAGGATGGGTCCCATCTGCCCAGGTGAGCTTACCTACTGCCCAGGTGAGCTTACCTACTGCCCGGGTGATCTTACTTACTGCCCAGGTGAGTTTACCCACTGACCAGGTGAGCTTATCTACTGCCCAAGTGAGTTTATCCACTGCCCAGGTGAGCTTGCCCTCTGACCAGGGGAGCCTTCCCACTGCCCAGGTGAGCTTACCTACTTCCCAGGTGAGCTTACCCACTGCCCAGGTGAGCTTTCCCTCTACCCAGGTGAGCTTTCCCTCTGCCCAGGTGAGCTTACCCACTGCACAGGTGAGCTTACCCACTGCACAGGTGAGCTTACCCACTGCCCAGGTGAGCTTTCCCTCTACCCAGGTGAGCTTTCCCTCTGCCCAGGTGAGCTTACCCACTGCCCAGGTGAGCTTGCCCTCTGACCAGGGTAGCTTTCCCACTGCCCAGGTGAGCTTACCTACTTCCCAGGTGAGCTTACCCACTGCCCAGGTGAGCTTTCCCTCTACCCAGGTGAGCTTTCCCTCTGCCCAGGTGAGCTTACCCACTGCCCAGGTGAGCTTACCCACTGCACAGGTGAGCTTTCCCTCTACCCAGGTGAGATTTCCCTCTGCCCAGGTGAGCTTTCCCTCTACCCAGGTGAGCTTACCCACTGCCCAGGTGAGCTTACCCACTGCACAGGTGAGCTTACCCACTGCACAGGTGAGCTTTCCCTCTACCCAGGTGAGCTTTCCCTCTACCCAGGTGAGCTTACCCACTGCCCAGGTGAGCTTACCCACTGCACAGGTGAGCTTTCCCTCTACCCAGGTGAGATTTCCCTCTGCCCAGGTGAGCTTTCCCTCTACCTAGGTGAGCTTACCCACTGCCCAGGTGAGCTTACCCACTGCACAGGTGAGCTTACCCACTGCACAGGTGAGCTTTCCCTCTACCCAGGTGAGATTTCCCTCTGCCCAGGTGAGCTTACCCACTGCACAGGTGAGCTTACCCACTGCCCAGGTGAGCTTTCCCTCTACCCAGGTGAGCTTTCCCTCTGCCCAGGTGAGCTTACCCACTGCCCAGGTGAGCTTACCCACTGCCCAGGTGAGCTTGCCCTCTACCCAGGTGAGCTTTCCCTCTGCCCAGGTGAGCTTACCCACTGCCCAGGTGAGCTTTCCCTCTACCCAGGTGAGCTTTCCCTCTGCCCAGGTGAGCTTACCCACTGCCCAGGTGAGCTTACCCACTGCACAGGTGAGCTTACCCACTGCCCAGGTGAGCTTTCCCTCTACCCAGGTGAGCTTTCCCTCTGCCCAGGTGAGCTTACCCACTGCCCAGGTGAGCTTACCCACTGCCCAGGTGAGCTTTCCCTCTGCCCAGGTGAGCTTACCTACTGCACAGGTGAGCTTCCCAGTGCGTTCCTGCAGCAGGCGCACGATCTGGGCCTTCTGGGTGGGGGCGCAGCGGCAGCAGACGACCGCTGGGCACTGGCAGGCCAGCTCCATGAACTCGTACTCATAATACTTGAGACAAACCTGGAGGGGGTGCAGGGAGCAGGTGGGTGGGTCAAGGGCACCCCCAGCCCACAGCTTAGCCCCTGCAGCTCTGCCCCACAGCTCCGGGCTCTCGAGGGTCCCCATGCCCACCTCTAGGGAGTCTCCAGAGATGACCAGGGCACAGTCGTGCTTCCTGCGGAAAGCGTTCAGCTCAAGATGGGCCTCTCCGCGGTTAGTCACCTGCTCGGGACAGAGAGATGGAGAAGCCTCGCTCTCTGGAGGTGACAGAATAAGCAGCAGCTTCCTGGAACTAGGGTGAAGACAATGGCCAAGGCCCTTCCCTTCCTCTGCCACCAGACCCAGAGCCAGATGAAGTCCCGTCTGCCAGGCTTCGGAGAGTAGCACAGCCACCATGGCCTTCCGCTCCCTGGGACCACAGCTGCCTGCACTCGCGTCAGGGGCCTGGCAGTGTGCCGGGGGCCTTTCACTCACTGACACAGCGACTCTAGGAGCTGCCCGACGGTAACAGCTCGGCGTCCTAACTCAGGGACAGCCAGGTGGGGTCCTTGGCCTGCCTAAGGTAGCAGCTATGTGCTGGAGGGCAGGTCCTCGAGGCCGGCGTCCAGCGGGGCTGGCAGCTGCTCTGCGAGGGACCGGATGTTAAGTGCTGCAGGCTTTGCAGACCCAGCCTGACCCTCAAAAGCAGCCAAACACAACCTGTAAGCCGGTGGGCGTTTCTACATCCCAACAGGACAAAGCACATCGCAGCCACAGCCTGCGGGCCCTGATTCCAGAACCCAGCTGGTTCCCGTGATTCTCGGTAGCGACACTCTGCAAGGTTGCTGAGAACACTGAACTAGCAGATCCCCAAGGGCTCCTCTAGGGGCACAGGTCAGGATCCTGCACGGCTCTGCCCACACCACGCTGGTCGACACCCACGCCTGGTTTGTGTCTCTGTCTCGAGATCTCTAGGCCCCTTAACACTGCTCAGCACCGCAGCTCAGGGGACTGTACTTTCTCCTTAAGATGCATCCTGACCCCTTGCTCAGGGTCACTGCCCAGCTCCAGGGCCCCGTGCTGAGGGCCACTTGGACCAGCAAGCTGCCAACAAAAACGCTAACACTCGACACTTAGCTGGGCTATGGGAAGGCCACTGTACAGTCTGAGAAGTGACAGGAGAGGGACACTGTGCCTGCCCGGCCTCGGCTGGGAAGGTGCGTGTCGGCTTCTAGTTTTTGCCATGTGACACGTATCGGCAAATGGCCTCGAAAGGGCTGTAGATACTGGTTTTGTGGTCACAAATACAATCACGAGAGCAGAATGCACCAGTAACACAGGCAGACGTGTCCACTTGTGTACAACGCTACAGCTCCAACCCTCGCTGGATCCCCTGATGCTCCGTGTGCTGTGCACCAAAGGCAGAGACCCTAAAACATCCGAACCCCTCTGGTTACCTAGCTTCACAGCTCTGCTGCACCCTGCCCTCCTTCCTCCCAGAATCAAGAGAGCCACTGCACCCAGGGCTCCTGACGCCCTGGTTCAGTCGGGCACACACATGGAGGGCGACTTCTCAGGGGCCCACCCAATTCAGAGCTTCCTTCGAGTCTCCCTGGTGGCCCCAAATGCCTCCCAACAGGCCAGGGTCTAGCGGTTCTTTCTTTCCAGAGACCTTGGCCTTGGGAAGGTCAGGGGAACTTCCAGAAGCCCAGGCACATTCTGTGTATAGAGCCTGGCTGTGTCTCCTGGGGGCGCAGCTGACGGGACCTCCAGTCCCAGGACAGGTCACAGTGTCACCCGGGGCTGCAGCCAGCTGCTCCTCAGCCCACCCGGAGGAATCCCTCCCCCTGCCCCGGTCACTTGGTAATCTACGCAAAGCAAGCAAGCCAGGTGGCCAGCTGCTCCCTTCCCTCTTTAAGGGCCCAACTGAGTGACGCGGTCCCAGGACCAAGCACCCCCCATGCGGCCCCAGCACAGAGGTGCTTCACCAGCCGGAAGACGTGGATGTCCTGGTTCCTGGTCACCAGATGTGCGTTCTTGGCTGTGCAGGTGGCGGTCTCCAGCTTGTCCCCCGTCAGCATCCACACCTGAAATCATGGCAGGAAGGGGTCCTGGGTGCCCGTGCTGGGAGCTCCCCAGAGCACTGAGCTGACGCTCCGACCCAGTAGCCTCCCCGACACCCCAGGAGTACCCCGTCCAGGGCTCTGGGCCTCAACAGCCAGGCTGGCAGCAAAGGCAGAGCAGGGAGGTTTAGAAAGACCATCGCCACAAGCTTCTAGAGACTCCCCGAGGCGGGTCTGTGACCTCGTAATCCCCCTGGGAATCCAAAGCAGCACGCAACCTATCCTAAAGACTATGATAGGGGTCACTTCTGGCTCCTCCAGGAAACATTGATCTGTGACCTCACGATCCTTCTCCATGCTCCAGACAGATGCCAGGTGCTTCCCCCTCTTTTATGAAATTGTTCTGCATTTCATTTCTGTGGGCCCAGAGAGGGCAGGTGCCCTGCCCAAAGCCACACAGTGAGCCCTTGTCCTAACCAGGCCCCAAGTCTGGGTCTTCAGAGTCCAGCTGGAACATGCTCCCTGCTCGGCCATCTCACCCCATTAACCCTCCCTATAGGGAGGGCTCTGGGAGTCAGGGGCTGGGAGGGCTAGGAAAAAAGATGCAGTAAATGTTCCCCGGGCCCGTGGCACCCGGCAGTGCTGCACCTGTTCAGTGATCTCTCCTCCACGAAAACCGTGAAGTGGGACCCAGAGGCACCAAGAGGTCAAGCCACCTGCCAAAGGTCACAAAAGTGGATGGGAAGCCAGGAGGGAACCCAGGCCACGGGGTCCCCCTGGAGTCAGCGGGGGACAGGGGATGCGTCTGATTTCCCCAGGTGTGGGTCGGCCTCACTCAACGTTCCCAGGGGACCCTGGCTGGGCACCGGCATTCTGACTTCATGTAAGAGAACCAACTCCAGGAAGGAGCTGGGAGTTTGAGTCTGGGAAACTGGGATCATAGCTGTCCCACAGCTGACGCCCCTCACTGAGGACAGGAAGGCACTGGGAGACGTGCCCAGGACCCCAGCTCCAGCAGCAGTGCCGCTCCCCAGGGTGAGGACCTCCCGGCCGGGTTTCCGTTTCTGTCAAAGGCCCGAGCGGAAAATGCCCAGGCTCTAACACTGCTGGCCTGCGAAGGGTCACGCCCCAGACATGACCACCCAGCAGGCTGCTGCGGCCACCCTCCCCCGGAACAACCAGAGAACTCAGATCCACGGGACGGGAACCAAACACCTGGCCCCGTGGACAGACAGTGCTGAGCAGGAACGAGAGCCCAGGACAAGGTGGACACGAGCAGATCTCCAAAGCCCAGAGACAAGAGGGCACAGACCCCACCAGAGCCAGAGTTCAAACACCAAGGACAGCCGAGGCAGGTCCCCTGCCCCCCAAGCCACACACACAGGATCCTGTTGGCCATTTCCTTACAACACCAGGCCCCTGAGCCAGAGGCTCGTGATGGGACCTGATTTCCGGGGACACCTGCACGCACGCGAGGCCCCACTGGGCCGCGTGCTGGTTCCTATCTGGGTCTAACCTGCACTCCTCCCAGGGCCTGGCCTGAAGTAGCCACTTCTGCCAAACTCCAGCCCCAGGACGCAGCAGGGAGCCACTCCCGAGTGCAGCCAGGGGATAGCGTGTTCTCAGAGCTTCGAGCCTGTTAACTAAAAGGGCGTGGGCCACGTGGCGGTGTTCTGCCAACCACGGCATGTATGACGGTGGTCCCGTAGACCGCAAAGGAGCTGGAAAACCATGCCCTAGTGATGACATCACGGCACAACACTCCCCACGTCACAAGTGGTGACACTGATGTGAACAGACCCACGCTGCCCACACAGTTGCACGCAGCATGTGACGCGTGATCATGCAGACTTGCTCCTGGCTCTCCAGCCCCCCGCCTCCTGGGGCAGCGTGCTCTCCTGCACGGGGTCAGCGTCGAGGCAGGCTGCTGTGCACACTGCAGCCGGACACCTGTGCTCAGGCTCAGGAAGGCACCAGTGACGGCCGACCACGAGGGTCTTGCAGTGCCCTCTGGATGTCTGCTGACTATCCATCACACAGGGGCACAGGGACAGGACTGGCCTCCCTGCGACAGGGCCTGGACCTCTGGCGCCCTCTACTGGCCCCTTGAGAATAAAGGCTGGACTTTCTCCCACCCTGAACAAGGTGCAATGTGAACAGGGCACTCTGCTGGCTCGGGGCTCTGTCAGGTGGTCAGTCACTGCCTCATTCATCCACATGGACAGACGGCCACCAGCAGGCCAGTCGGCTGGAATGCCACGTGCAGCGCGTGCCCATGGGCGCTGAGCTGGGCCCTGAGCCACCGGGAGACACATGCAGTCCCAGCCCTCAGGAGCTGTGATGGGGAGGTGGCCAGAGAGGGCAAACACAACACAGACACAAGGACAATGGCAGCGGTGGCCCATCCCACAGGGGCACTCTGGTCCCCTCTTGCTCCTCCCACCCTCACTTTCTTCCCTCTGAAGTCCTCCATCTGCGGAAGGGACCACTGACGTCACCGAGCTCCGCTCCCGGGCGCCAGCCCTACCTTGATGCCCGCGTTCCTCAGCGTCTCCAGGGTGGGCCGCACATCGGCCTGCAGCTGGTCCTCCACGCCGGTCAGGCACAGCAGCTCCATCTCCATCTCCAGGCTCTCGATCACGGTGGCCACTTTGAGGGAGCGGTCATGCACGCTCAGCTTGGCCTGGACGTAGCGGGCCTGGCACACCAACAAGTCTCCACTTAGGGTGGGGAGGGCGCGGCCCACCCCGCCCCTGGCACGCTGGCTCTGTGCCGGGCACCAGGGGTCCATCAGGGAGCAAGACCAGACATGCAGGGGAGGGGAGGAGCAGGCCACAGCCTCATTCAACTCCCAACCTCCACTGCAGCCTAAAGAACTCGCGCTCTAATAGCGCGACCTGTTCCCAGTGTTCCGAAGTCACGTCACACGCCTGCGTAAGCCAGCCTGATCAGGTCCCCGGCCCCAGAAAGAGTTTGTTCCAGAGGCAGATGGATGAAGTGAATGTTAAAAGACATGAACAGGGGGCTGGGGGGTGGCTCAGTGGTAGAGCGCTTGTCTAGCACGTGCGAGGCGCTGGGTTCCATCCTCAGCACTGCATATAAATAATAAAATAAAGGTCCTTGAACACTAATAAAAATATTTAAAAAAAAAAAAGACCTGAACAGGGAAGTTACGTGGGTGTTGGGTCAAAAGCGACGAGGTGGAGCTGCCTTAGACAGCCGGTCCAGGAAGGCTTCCTGGAGGAAGCAGCATTTGAGCTGAGACCCAAATGAAGCCAGGGAGTTCTGTGGGGCGAGAGAGCTCAAGGCAGAGAGGAGAGCAAGTGTCAGGTGACAGCGCAGTGGGGAAGCGGGGGGCTCAGAAAGGACGTCAGGGCAGCTGGGAGTGAGCAAGGAGGCCCCAGAGGGAGGTGTGACGGGAGGTGGGCAGGGCTGCAGGGACAACGAACGCACCTCAAAGTCCTGATACTGCTCCTCTGCTAGCGACTTCTTGGCCACCACCAGCACCCGCAGCCCCTCCCGGGCCATGTTGCCGCACTGCAAAGCAGACAGAGGTCAGCAGGGGCTGTGCTGGGCCCTGGCCACCAAAGTGCCCTGTGTTCCTTCCAAAGGGGACAGGGGAAAAGAAAACTGCTTTCCCCAAGTGACGGTCCCCAAAGCCAAGCTTCGTGGGGAGGCTGCAGAGGGGCGGCCCACAGGTCAACCCCGGCTCGCACGCAGGCTTTCTGTGATGGGCACGGCATGTTTCAAAACTCGAGTCACCAGGGAGTGCTGGCTGCTGGAAAACCAAACAGCTCACTAATCCGGGCACACCTTCCCAGATAACCACTGGCTGTACAGTGGCTGCTCCCGTGGGCCCCCCAAAACACGCAGTCAGGTGAAGACCACTCCGTGGGTTCCACATGCCAAGCACAACCCTATCTGAAAAACACACCAGGCCCGGGTGGTTTGTCCGTGGGACTGGCCGGCCGAGTGGCACTGGTGTGCAGTGCCTACGTGGAATGATGATGTCACTGGACGTGACACAGGGAGTTCCCCTGGAGCTGAGAGAAAACACAGGTGGCCCGACAGACCTGAGCCTCCTCCCGCTTCTGGCCAACGCCCACCTCACAAACTGGGACCTGTGGCCCCCAGTGACCCCACGTCCTGGAACTCATGCCCGGAAGTCACCTGCCCCTAGGGTGTGAGCTGGGCCTGTGACGTGCTCCTGGCAGAAGGTAGCAAGAATGGGGGGTGTCACTTGTGGGATTAGGTGCCACAGACGGTGACCCCCCAGCTCGCCTGCCCTCGCCTGCTCCCTGGCCTGCTCACTTTGTGAAGCCAGCTGCAGGCTGCACACTGCCACAGGGAGAGGCCCGGGCGGTGAGGAACAGGGGGCGGCCACCAGCCACCAGCTGGACAGACCTGAGGCCTTCAGTCCAGCAGCCAAGAAGCCGAGTGCTACCCCAGCCCTCAGTGAGCCCAGCAGCAGACCCTGCCCAGGTCGAGTCTTCAGAGGAGATAACAGCCCCCACTGGGTCCCCACTGCAGTCTGCAGGAGCCCCCAGGGCAGAGGCCAGGCCGGGCCACACCCAGGTCCCTGACCCACAGACCCCATGAGCAATAAGTGTGTGCTGTTTCCAGCTGCTAAGTCTCAGGGTGGACGGTCACGCAGCCACAGAGAGCCAAGACAGAGACTGGCCTCCACACTGGGTGCAGCCTCTCCACACACGCTCCTGAGGCCCAGGGTCACTCAGCGCCACGCTCACCTCTTCCTCCAGCCAGTCATTGTACTGGACGATGCCAGCCATGACGACGTCCGCCCCCTTCATGTAGAAGGTGATTTCTCCCGTCGATTCATCCTAGAGGGCGCGGAAAGGAATGAGAGCAGGAAGGACACACTGCTCCCCACCCCACCCCCAGGCCCGCTGCCCAGAGTTGGGGGTGGACTGAGCAAGCCGAGAGGATGCCGATGTCTGCCACTTGGACGAAGATAAAAAGCAAGAGGGGCCTCGCTTTGGGGCAAAGGCCACAGAAAATAAAACTCAAAGCGCTTGGGAAATCGTTAAATGATGAAAGCAAGATCAAAAAAGTTAAGACTCCTGTTTTTAAAGTCATTACTACTCCGGGGGAGTGGACGCCCACGCTACTCGACTATTCCATGATTGTAGATCTACACAGGGAACTGCCAGCCGGTCAAACTGCGGTCCAGGGTGCAGCCCGGGGTCCTCAGCTCAGCTCTGCTGACCTGACGGGCTGGATGCTCCGCAGCGGGGCGGCCTGTGTCCTGCAGGGTGGGCGGCAGCACGCCTGGCCCCTACCCACCAGCAGCAGCCCCGTGGGGATGACGAGGAAGGCCTCTGGACATTAGCAAATGTCCCTGGGTGACAAACAGTCTCATCTAGGAACCACACGAGGGGGGCTTTGCTGGGACATGGTGACACAGATCTTCCCGCCTTTCTGATGGCGCCGCTGCCCAGGCAGGAGGGCTGCTGTGTGCGCCTGGGCTTCTCCTCTCTGCCTCGGCTGAGAGTGCTCACTGCAGGGACCATCATGGCCCAAACAAGCAGCCCTTCCGTGCCGGTGCTCCTGATGGGACGGCAGCAGGCCCCTGGCCTTGGTCAGGTGGCAGCGTACTCTCCACAGGGCACCTGGCGATGTCTAGAGACGCTGGTGGTTGGCACGACTCAGCGAGTGCGGGAGGGGATGGGGTGCGGCTGCTGGACGCCCCACTGGGAGCTCCTGCTTGGAGGCGTGTGGCCCGATCCCACCCCGCTCTCTCCTCCAGGCCTCCAGACGGGGAGGCGGGGCCTGGACAGGGCCACTGACTCCTGTGCCTCAATTTTGCTGCCGGGGAAGCCCAAGACAAATGCCCACAAAAGCCTTCCCTGAGAACGGACGGACGCCCAAAGGCAGAGCAGGGGTGCAGGCCTCCTCTGAACCAGCTTTCCGCACCCCCCTCCGGGCAGCCTTTAGGAACAGCGCTGACTCACCGAAGTCCCCCCAGGCACAAGGCTCTGAACATGAAAGCCCGGGAGGTTCCCTTCCCCTCCACCCAAAGGGCGCTCACCAACATGGCTGCAGGAAACAACGCCCCCCGCCTGGCTTCCTTTACTACACAGAGGCTCCAGAGAGTTGGGGCGCGCTGTCCAACGTAAACACCCAATGGACATCTCCTCTGTGAGTCATTTCCTCCCGCCCAGTTCATCGCCAGTTTACTCCGTTCCCACGTCGTGGCAAAGCCGCGCCGCACACTCAGAGTCGGCTGCCTGTGCCGCACCGCAGTGGGGCTCCCCTTCCCACGTGTCCTCCCCGGCACCTGCTCAAAGCCTCGTTCACCCAGACAATGCCAACAGCACCGGCTCTACCGGCCCGACTCCGTCATTCCACACAGGCAGCTGGGGACGTGGTGGACAACTTGTACCAACAAAAACCTAACAGGTGACATGACCTTCCTTTGGAAAGACAAGTGTCCCAGAGCCTCCAGTTTCTCTCACCTCCCCTGCCTGCTTAAGGACAGAGCCCTGCGGGGCGAGGAGAGGCTCCAGGTTCAGCCTGCCTGCCCACGTCCAGCAGGCAGGGTGCAAGAGGCCGGCCAGAGCAACACTGTGACCGCCCGCGGTCGCTAAAGCATGCTGAGAGGTTATACAGGGACCAACACTTCCTCCCATCAGGAACCGGAGAGTCACCGCACATGACAGGCAAGCTGTGTGGCCACATTAGAAGGGGGTGTCTCGGCCTCTGTACAAGTGACGTCCGGAGCCCGGCCGTTCTTCGTTGTGGGGGTGTCCTGTGCACCGGAGGACACGGCATCCCTGGTCTCCACCCACTAGAGGCTGGGGCTGTGACTCCCACAGTGTCTCCAGAGATTGTCAAATAAGCCCAGGGTGAGAATGGCCACATCAGAGGAGCAAAGTGAGATCTGTGCAGTGTAACGCTGATTTCCACCCAAACCAGAGATAAAGAGAAAACTCAGAAAGTAAGGAAAAAAATCAGCAAGATAATAGGTACGCCATTGAAGACCGCCTGCCGAGGTGGACGATCACGATATTATTTTTTTTAAGTAGTCAAAAATGAGAAACAACCTAAGCATCCAAAAGAAAAAAGAAAAGTAAATAGCTGGGTGAGGTGGCACATGCCTGTAATCCCAGCAACTCAGGAAGCTGAGGCAGGACGATTCCAAGTTCAAGGCCAGCCTGGGCAACTTAGCAAGGCGCTTCCTCAAAATAAAAAATACAAAGGGCTGGGGACATAGCTGTGAGCCCCTGGGTTCAATTCCCAGTACAGAAGAAAAAAATAAAAAGTGAATGAAATAGCGGTACATTTTCAACAAAGCATCGTGCACACACTAAAATCAGATTTCAATCATAAAAGAAAATTTCCTTCCTCTGCATGTGTTTCAAAGGGGGGAGGGGAAGCTTGGAAAGACTGATCAAAAGTTCAATGCCAATTTTATAGAAATGTGTGTGGATATTCACAGTCATATATGCTCAGGAAAAAAAAAAAACTGAATGGAGGCGAACCATTCATAGCTCCTTCTCGACATCGTTACCTGTTCTAAACACCTGCACTGTGAACGCTGGTTCTAAAAACTCTCAGGCAGTGGGAGCTGCCGTAGGTGAGGCAGACCTGCCCCCTGCAGGCACCCCCACTTCCAGCAAGGCCCCTTCTGCTGTGGGGAGACCCAGGGCCATGTGCCACCTCGTGTAGCATGACGTGCGTCTGGAACAAGAGTCCCTTACAACCCAACAAAGGGCGGCGTGTCCCGCTCGCCTGTTCTAAGAGAAGTGGGCGTTGGGGGCTCTCCGATGATGATTCAGCCCCTGAATGACCTCAGCAGAGCCCATGGCCCGAGAACTTAAAAAAAAAAAAATAATGCTGGAATGAAATTGGAGCGATTCTGTAGGACATAATGACTTGGATTCCTCAGGAAGCCTCACCCACAGGAGTGAGGCTGGGCGCGCTGGACAGCAGATGTGTGCTCAGGGCAGGCGGGCGTGGGCCAGTGGGAAAGCACAGCTGTGCGGGAGAAGAGCCTCCCCCCACCCCAAAGTTGCCAAGGATCAGGTCCCACACAGTCTGAGAGTCCCCACTGGTACTGGAAATAACAGTCCCTTAGAATGGGACGTTTCCCATCACGTCCACACCGTGCGTCTCTGGATCATCAGCTCAGGCGGAGAGCGCCTGTGTCCCCCCACAGTGCCGAGGCAGGGGCCTCTACGGCAGTGCCCAGTGTCCTCCACTCCTGGTATTCACGCCTCGCCGGTCACCACCTCAGGACAGGTTAGACCTGGGAACTTGCTTGTGATCCTGGACGAAGGCTAAGGCATCGGACGTCACTTCTGATGCTGGGTTGCAGGCAGAGGGATCTCCCTGCTTGTCCACATTTCCAGCTGCTCGCCCTGATGGACAGCTGGCTGGGCATGAGCTGAGGGCGGTCCCTGGTTCCCAGTCAGTGAAGAGCTAGGCCTCAGTCTACCCACCCGCGGGGATCTGAATCCTGACAACATCGATCCCGTCAGCAAGACCTTAGAGCGAGTGGCCCTGGCCAGCCCCTTGACCGCTCACAGATCCTGACCAGAGGACCCAGCTAAGCTACGCCCGGCTGCCTGGCCCACAGAGACTAGCAGGGACTGCACAGGTCATTGTTTCAACCCACTGAAGGTGGTGTCACCTGCAAGGCAGCAATGCCTAACTGACCCAACAAGGCTGCAGGTGCCCCTGAGCTTTGGGGCCCACCTCCTGGCACACCCTCGCCCTGGGTCCTAGAGGAAAAGAGCACCAGCTTGAGCCAGACGGCCTGGGCTTGGATCCCTGCTGGCATGGTCCGGCTGTGTGACCTCGGGTGGCTCCTCAGCCCTCCACACCTCAGCTTCCTGCTCTGTCGCCCGTCAGTCATAAATGGTGCCTGTTTCGCTACACTACGGTGAGAAGCAAGTGAGGCAGCTTACCATGCACATCACTCAGAACAGCCACCGGTGCACAGCAAGCCTTGGTTAACTGTCACCCCACATTATTACTGGTGACCCTCCCACTGTCACTACTGCTGTGGCTACATAGCTCTCCTGCCATTGACCCCAGGCTCTCAGCCACCTTGGAACTGACCATGAAGACTGTTGGGAGCATAAGTGGGCTAGAAAGAGCTGAGCTGTTTTATTTGCTTTGTTTTGTTTTAAATACCCTTTTCGAAAGCTTCCCGGATCACCCCGCAAAAAACAAGTGGGGCTGCACGCTTGTATGTCTGCCCTGCCCTGCGCATGTGCTGTGTGTCAATGGAAAGTAGGTTAAAAATCTAAAATAGTACAGCAAATGACACTGCTGACTGGTCACCATTCTTCCCACTCTGTGACCACATGAACTAAAAAACACAGGGGTCATTCACAACCAGGGTGCCAAGAGCAGTGGGAGGAAATCACAGTCTCTTTGGCAAATGGTTCTGGGACAACTGGATATTCACATGCAAAAGAGTGAAGCCCCTACCTCACACCATGTGTAAAAGTTAACTCAAAATGGACTCCAATGACCCAATAAGCTAAAATTGTAAAATTCCCCAAAGAAAACACAGGGGTGAATCTTCACGACTTTGGAGTTGGCAATGGATTCTTAGATGTGACACCAAAGCCAACAGCAGCAACCAGAACAGATAAACTCAACTTCATGGAGATTGGAAACTTTGGTGCATAAAAGGACATTATAAGAAAGTGAAAAGACAACCTATAAAAGGAGAGATCTGCAAATTATATATCTTATAAAGGTCTAATACCCAGAATATATAAAGAACCCTTAGAAAATCAACAAGAGGACAACCCAACTAAAAACTAGGCAAAGGACTTGAAAAGACATTCTTGGAAGATACAGATATGGCCATAAACTCATGAAAAGGTGCTCAGTGCCATTAATCATTAGGAAGATGCAGATCAAAACCATGATGCAATACCTCTGCATAACCCTAAGGACGGCCATAATCAAAACACATTAAAAATTTTAAGTAACAAGTGCCGGCAAGAATGTGAAGAAAATGGAAACTTAATATATTGCTGGTGGGAAAATAAATCGGTACAACATTTTAGAAAATAATTTGGCAATTCCTCAGAAGACTGAAGAGAGAGTTACCCAGCCACCAGGTAACCGACCTGCCTGACTCCATAGTGTCAATCCCCAAACCCCCAAACAGGCTCTCAAATTCTTGTCCCTGAACAATCCCAGCAGCACCATTCACAACGGCCAGTGGGTCAAACAACTCGAAAGTCCATCAGTGGGTGGACGCATTAGAAAATATGGTACAGGTCATGCACCCCTCACCCAAAACAAATGCTCCCAACCCCAAAATTTGTTGAGCACCAACATGACGCTGCAAGTGGAAAATTCCACAAGTATCCTGAAGCAAGTTGTGATCAAACACAAGTGCACTGGAAACAGTGTAGAAAATGACCTGGGCCTACGTGCGCAAGGTGCATAGGAAACAGATGAATTTCACACTTAGACCCAAGGCTCCCCTCCAGGGTATCTCGTTACCTCCCTGCAAATATTCCAAAATCCAAGAAAAAAAACCTGAAATCCAAAACCCTCTGGTCTCAGCGTTTAGGATAAGGACAGTATCCACCCGATCATGCGGCGATGGAATACGGTCAGCCGAAAGGAGAAGTGAAACCCGGACACACGCCTCGGCAGGGGCCACCTGGGAAACACGCTCCAGGAAAGAAGCCTGCGACCACAGGCCACGGTGACCGATTCCATTCACATGAAACGCCAGGAACAGGTAAGTCCCCGGGACAGAAAGCAGACCGGTGGCTGCCAGGAGCCGGGGTGGGCGAGGGGCTGCTTTTGTCGATGATGAAGATTTGACACATTTTGCGACCTGACCACGTTGGGGACCTATGTAACATCAGGAAGGTCTAAACACCACAGAATCGCTCCCTTTAAGATGGCTCTCTGAGTCGAACTTCAACCGTGTGTATTTAATTAAACAAAAGAGAACGAATCACATGTAACCAGGAACTGCTCACCTACGGGCATCGGAACCTCGGTTCCCTGCAGCCCGGCAGGGCTGAGCGGAGGCCTGGTGTGGGCCCCCATGAACTGGACCTCTTTCTGCTCAGGAAGACACCTTCCCGTGTGGGTCTGGGCGGCAGACACCACCCTGAGGAGGGCTAGAAAGGCCCTGGGGACACAGGGCGTGCGGGGTGTGCGGGGCGGGACTCACCCTGACGATGATGCCCATGCGCTTGCTCTCGTAGGTGAAGGGGAAGATCTGCAGGATGGTGAAGTTCAGGATCTGGTCGCCAGGGGTCCTCAGCTGCATGGAAGACTGGTCTCGGCCCACCAGGGTCAAGCCCACGCTCTCCGTCCACTGGACCAGGGCCACCTAAACACGAAGACATACAAGCATGTGACCACTCAGGCACAAGGAAGAGCAGGGACAGATGACGGACACGCAGTCACTGCACCTGGGGACAGCAAGGGCCTCGGCCCAAGGGGCTGCCGCCCATGACAGTGTCTGTACCAGGGGGTCTGCGGGGGCCCATGCTCACAGTTGCCCCTCTGGAAGGTCACGTGGTCCTTCAGACCCCAAAGCAGGCTGCACACCACAGGCACGGCCCTGAGGGACCACACCAGCTCTCCGGAAGAATCTGCGCCAAGCCCAACAAGCCCCAGGAGGGCCAGGCGCTGTGGCACTTCAGCCCATGCCCTCCCCGGGGAGGATCGACAGGGTTCTCAGCAGGGCATGGCTGCTGCCAGGGGACGTGGCTATCATAACTGGGACGGGGTGCTTGTGGCCAGAGAGGCAGGTCACAACAACCCGCAGGGCACAGGATGGGACCACAGCAGGTCACACAGTAGGGAGTCGATGGCAGGAGGCTGGGAGAACTAGTCCCCACAGACGAGGACACCAAGATGAGTAGCCCAAGGTGACGGGAGCAGAGAAGTGGCAGAGGCCAGGCCAGGCGAGCCCTGGACCTGCCTGTGGCAAAGTCCCCCCACTACAACACTCTGTTCCCAGTGGGGCCTTGACACAGCCTCAGCCAGGCGGCCCTGAGGGCCAGAGGCAGAGTCGCAAACCCCCAGAGCACAGCCAGATGACCGCGTCCTGCAGATGAGCGGAGAGGCCAGGCCAACAGGATCCCAGCCCAAGGGGGCAGCCGCCTCTGTGTCACACTGGTGGAGCAGGCGGCCCTGCGGGAATGTGGCCCAGGATGGCCCGAGCTTCCAGTTTCTCAAGAAAAACCTGAGATCTGGACTCGTCCTGAGATGTCCTGACATTCAAATGTAAGCAACTGGTTTTCATGTCTTGAAAGTCCATGAAGAAATTAAAACACGTCTGCTGAGCACCTCTGGGGTCTCCCGGAGAAGGAGGAGAGGGGAGAGGAAAGGGAGGAGGAGAGGGTGGGGAGGGACCGGAGGTGGCAGGCCCCCTGCACGGGAGGGAGGCCACGGCGGGTGGGCAGGTGGACAAGGATGAACAGCCCACTGTATGCAGAGGAGACCCAGAAGAGGGGGACCCTGCTCACTCCTGGGAGGCGGGAAGGGCCAGCTCCGTGGTGAGAGGGATCGAGAGACCCAGCAGGCCAGGGGCGCCGACCTGGGCCGGCCGCTGTGATGGGCTGAGACAGGACCCTCTGCGAGGTCTAGCTGAGCCTGACGAGGCCACAGGAGAGTGCCAATCCCGGGACGTCCAGATCTCGCGGGCCTGCACTGGGTTCCGGGCCCCTAACACACGTCCCCAGTGGGGCCACCCCAGCCCACGGTCACCACTGGAAGGTTGATGGGAGGTACAGTGGCAGAAGAATGGCCCCAAAGCAGCCCTGGTCCCCAGAACCTGTGAAAGTGACCTCCCAGGACTTTGCAGATGTGACCAGGAGGAGGCCCTGAGAGGGTGAGATCACCCCAGGGGACCCAGGTGTCCCCATGTGATCCCATGAGTCCCCCAGGGGAGCCCTTTGGGTCTGTGGCCAGAGATGTGAGAGGAGGAGGTCAGAGAGCAGGGACACCACGGATCTTGCAGAGGGAGGAAGGAGCCATCAACCAGGAACGTGGACAGACTGGGGAGCCCCAGGAGGAAGGACTCGACGACCCCAGAGCCCACAGCAGCAACGTGGCCCTGTGAACACCCTGATCCCATCCCTGAGAGACTCCTGTGGACCTCTGACCTACGGCTGAGAGCGAGCAGCTTTGCTTCATTTTAAAATGTCACTTGTTACCACAGCAACAGGAAACAAGCAGAGGACGGCTTCTAATGTTCAACCAAAGGAGCCGTCTTTGTATTCAGATCTAAGCCCTAAAACACGGTGTCTTTAAAAAAGAAAAAAAAAAAAGTATCTCCTGCCACTTTCTTCTTATAGTTTAATCTTTAGGGGAAAAATAAAAAGGCAGGTGTTTGGAGAGGGTTGAGCTGGGAAAGAGGCTATTCCGGAGGCCTTGATCACAGGGGAGATTTAATAAGCCCGTCGTGAATTGAACACGTCCTAAGTGAAGCCGGGCGTGTGGCACACACCCGTAATCCAAGCAAATCAGGAGGCTGAGGCAGGAGGATTGCTGGTTTGAGGCCAGCCTAGGCAACTTAGTGAGATCCTACCTCAAAATAAAATTGAAACAATAAATAAATAAAAGGGGGGCTGGGAATGTAGCTCAGTAGTTCACCTCTGGGTTTGATCCTAATACCAGGAAAAAAAAAAAGACAAAAGAAAACCTGGTAGGTGGAAAGTGCACTCAATACCTAACTCACCACCCACCTGGCTGGGCCACCCAGGCGCCAGGGTGTGGGTCATCTCCTCTTGTGACTGGGAGCTGCACCCCAGCCGCTGCCCAGGACTGGACAGCACAAAGCTGGCCGGGAAGAGAGCAAAACTCCAAAATGAAGTGCAGAGTGCATGGACCACGTGACACCAAGTAGCTGAAAGCCGTGAGCCCGCTCTCGCAGGTCAGGGACGCCTCTGTGTAACGTTCCTGGGCCTGAAACAGTCCTGGCCCCCGCCTCTGCGCTGCTGGGAGGCAGAAAGGGTCACTTCTCCCTGGGATGGCCTACCCCCCAGCACTGTCCCCCTCCAGAACGGTGTCCCTTTCACCAAGGGAGCACTGTGGAAGCCCTGGGAGAGGGCCGCCCCCAGCTCCCTGTTTCTGGAACCCCTGGGACTCGTGTGGGCCGACCCGCTGCACCTCAAGGACCTAAGCTGGAGCTCACAACAGGCCCCAGCCCGACCACCACTGTCCCCCCTGCCCCGACCAGGCCTCTGCTCCCCACGGCCTGTCCTTCCCACGGCCCAGGCTGGCTGCGCTCGGATCTTTGGTTTTGCTTCTGTTGCTGACATCGAGGGCGCTCACATAGCAGGAAGTTAATTTCAAGACTTTTCCATCTTATTTAATAGTGAACTAACTGGGATTAAATAGCTTTCAATTTTGACCCACAGACGATGCCATTATACCTACCTCCACCTTTCAGAGAAAGGTCTAATCAGGTCTCTCTCTTCTTTTCACCTTTCTTTTTGCTACTGCTCTGCATAAGCCTTTGAAGCCCTGTTTGCCGACTGCTCACCTAGCAACGGATCCCTCAGGCCGGTGCAAGAGGAAATGCTGAGTTACAGGTCCGAACACTCAAAACAGACAAATGTCCCTGAGGAAGAGTGGTTAGAACTGTATGCAACTTTTAAAGAATATATATTTATTTTTTAGTTGTAGATGGACACAACACCTTTATTTTATTTACTTATTTTTATGTGGTGCTGAGGCTCAAACCCAGGGCCTCGCACGTGCTAGGCGAGTGCTCTACCGCTGAGCCACAGCCCAGCCCCTGTATGTACTTTTAACCATGCTTTCTTCCATAGCAAGCCCCTCAATGGAGTTAGGGAACCTCGGTGCCCCCTCCAGATCCTCTCCTGAGCCCTGCAGGGGGCAGTTCACTCCCCACTTCCTGCTCCCAACTGCAACACGGTCAGTGTTCATTTAAACCCACTCTCTAACCAAACACACAAAGGCCCCAGAGCCCTGGGGGGTAAGACGGGGTACTCAGTGGAGCTGAGGGGCTCAAGGGGATCATCCCACAGAACATGACGGGGAAGACTTCAGGGCCTTGAGCCTCAGTGTCCTGAACCTGGGTCAGGGTCTCGCGGGGCCTCAGGACAGAACTGGGGGTCAGAGCAGCAGCAGGCACAGCAGCTTCAGTACCATGAATGGCGCAGGAATCCGCGAGATGGGAACGAGACCAGGAACTGGATCAGAGCCCGGGCGGAGGACCTCATGTGGGCCTCTGCTGTGTCTTCTGCTCTGGGTACAAGGAGGACGTGAAAGGGCAGAGCCCACTGCTCTCCCTCCTAACATGCCATCTCAAGAACTTGGGCCAGAAGCCACCTGTGAAAGGGCTTTTCATCATCTGTGGTTGGCAATGAACCACCCGGGACAAGATTCACTGATTTTTCTCTGAGCCTGGGGGGAGCGCACTGGGCAGCCTTGCGCTCTTGTCAGAAGCAGGGTATGCACGTGTTGCAGGAGCACGTAAGAGACTCGAGTCTGACGTCTGACTCAAGGGCTCTCTGGTGACTTCGACAGGACAGACACTCAGACACACGGAGGAGCCAGGTGGTCCTCGTCCAGCCTCAGTTCCCAAACTCCATAAATCTACCCACGGGTCTAAGGATTTCTTTCCTTAATAAGGAAACACGTTCGACCATGTGCTGGACGGTGGCTGCAGGTTCAGACACCCACAGGGATGAGCAGGTGGCAGACAGGATCGGGGCAGGCACAGGGCCGGGGTAAACTGAGGCGGCAGACATCCAGCAGTGGACACCCAGCAGCAAAGTCAACCACTACCAGGTGGAAGATGGGCCACTATTTCCCGATCTGACCTGTCCCAAGAGGAGCTATTTTTTTAAAGAAATACATAAAGTGATTTCAAATCACTGCTTGAAGGAAAGGTCTTAAAGACACCACAGAGCAAACAAAAACAGGCTGCTCAGGTGAGGTGGCAGGGGAGGTGACAGCAGAGGCAAGGCCACCTGGGCCCAAGTCTCCCGTACCTGAAAGCCGCCTCTCAGCTCTGATAAATGATACTTGGAAAGAAAGGATGGCGTCGTCGCCACAGACATCTCGTTATTTAGAAATGACTCTGCTTAAGTCACTGGGATGAGACCTGCATCCCAGACCCATGGGTGACCTAATATCCAGGGTGACTTAACTGACGGTTTTCCTACAATGTCCCCCAAACACTTGCGGTCCTGCTTCAAACAGCCGCACTCCCTTGTGACCAACCAGAACCCCGCGCCAAGCTCCTGCCTGGGCGGTCACCACCACCTCCGCTCAGGGTCTCCAAGTCCCGACCTCTGTTCTCTGAGCCACAGCGGCACGGCCCTGAGAGAGCGCAGCCCACCTCTGCCC